ATGCCAGTATGCCAGTATATATATGTTCCCACTTCTGGTGTACCGTATATGAAACATGTCCATGCTCTTAAACTTACGTGCAGAGCTCCAGGTTGACAGGAGTGCTGTTGAGCTGTAGTGTAATTTCATGCTGTGTGCTCACAACAAAGTCTACTGAACCGGGCTGGCCAGGACTGGACCCTGCAGGTACCACCCCGAGCTGCTGGTACAAACACTAGCACACAAGGAAAACAAGGGTCCAGATCAGACCAGCATCCTCGTCCTGAAACAAGTCAGACAGCCACAGACTCTGGAGGAGAGGAGACTATTTGGTATGTGTGAGCCTACCTGGTAGCAGCGCTCTGACATCCAGGACACCACCACCTCAGTGTCCAACTCATTGTTGACTGTCAGGAATGCCTCGTCCATCTTCAGGGCTATGTGCTTGTGATGAGGGAAGCCAGCTGGAGAAAGAATCAGCAGTACACGATTGTGCAGATCAGTCGAAACCAACTGGCAAATCAATCTGATGTACAGAAAGAGGAAACATGAAGAAAAAATGCAACAGCCTGCAGTGTAGCTGACCACACCCAACTGTGAAGCGACTGCTCACTGAACACAAATAAAGACCATTGTTCATATGATCAGAAAGACCCACAACACCATGTTTGTTAAATTACTGCACTCCACAGTACAACATGGATAAAATAACCGCAGCTACATGTTGACAACCTTAACGCACAAGCCAGAGAGATCATATCGTGGAGGCTTTGCTTTTGAACGCCTTCGCAGAGGCTACAGCTGTGCAACTAGATTCCCGTAACTTACCTCAAACCTATGGTTCGCTGCTATCGTTAGGGACGAGAGACAGGTAGCCAGAGTAATAAATAAAGTGCCCGATCTGACTGCTAGCTGCAGCCAGTCAGCTAACGTTGCTGCCTGGAAGAGGAGAGCATGTGAGAGGGCTGAAGTTACGGCTGCAGAGCCTCGTGGTCACATGCTGAATTAATCCGTGAACTACCCCCAGGAGGGAAGTTCAAACGACTGGAGCTCATTCTTGGACCATCTACTGCTTCTTTGAGTTTATGTGCAGTTAACCCCGAGCTAACAGGTTTTACGACTTAATAACCCTTAAATAACACACCTAAACAACATATATATCGTGGCAAATCTTCTGCTGGTTGGTGTGTGATATTATTAGCTACTACTAATATAATATTAGTTATAAATTGTGCAGGACATTGGGTAATTAGCTGTAGCTAGCCTAGCTACGAAGCGCTACCTGCCATTGCTTTCACACTTGTCAACAACCCTGTACATTTTACTTACAGCTAGATATTTCTGCTGCCAGTGGCACCACGCAGACGGCTACAACCAAAGCAATGGCAGCAAGGGAAAACATGTATTTATTTGGTTCTGCCATTTCTTTCTGCCTTGACTTCACGACTGAAGAAGTGTGTTTTGATTTCTTCAGTTTCCCTTTTGCCATAGCAATTCCCACTTCCGACCCTTCCTTGTTTTGACATTGTAGGGGGAGCCATAAGGGACAAAGTACAAGGTTAACGCTACCTGTTTGTTACCCTCGGCGGGGGTGTGTGGTGAACGTCAACCACACTTTGGCTGTAATTGTTTGACTGGGGCCCTTTTGGCCGCATAAGAACTCTCAAATTAACTAATTCATAATTAATAACAACCTTTCTTGCAGGTCTCGTCTCGATACACTCTGTTGCTATGGTAACGTCCGCCCCAATTATGGCTCCGTACTTTTTCAATTCAATTCAATTTGTATAGCGCCAATTCCTAACAGAAGTTATCTCAGGNNATAGAGCAGGTTTAGACCGAACTCCTTATAACTTTTGGTCCCATACCTTTCGCCAACCTTAGGGGAATAATTAAAACGTTACTTTTACCCCCCCTTTAGCCAGCTCTAAGGCAATGAACGGGCTGCAGCAGCAGTGGACATGTTGGATTCTTCTGAGACCGTTTTATCTTTACAGACGGAAACACATAATGTGGGAAGACACACTAACATGGATTTCTAAAGGTCCTAAATGGTTCTACACACGGTCTGTTGCTATGGTAACGTCCATACTTCCAGCCAACCCAATAAATTAACTTTACATCAGTGTTTAAAAGCTTGTCTGCCTGGTTATTATTGTTTTGACAGAGTAGTTTTCCCAATGAGCTCAACTGTTCCCACTCATTCGACCACATGACCGCGCCAATGACGTCAGAGCCATGTTTTTTTAATAGCGAGTCGACTGACGCATGCGCACATACAGTGATAGTAAGGACACGAAATCGATCATCGAGTGAATGAACGGCGCCTCCCACCGGACTCCATCTATCACAATGGCAGATAAACAAAGTGCTCAGAAAAGGTAATGTTAGCCCGTTAATGACGGGTTCAACCGCGACCTACGCGCTGTTAATAAACAAAATGATAAACCAGAAAGCGACAAGGAAGTAACAATGTCGCTGCTTTAGAGGACTCGACTATGTGAAATAGCTAGCTAGCAACGTGAGCTAACATTTCCACCCTGTTTTCTCTAAAGTCCTCTGTCTCTGTTTAACTTTTGTATTTTAGCAGTGTCAAAATAGCCGCCGGAGCCGTCGTTTGTGTTGAAAGTGAAATTAGAGGAGATGTCACCATAGGTAAGATAATTCACTTTGGGTCACTTGCAAGAAGTTACTGCTTTATACTGCTGACTTGGCAGAACATGTATTTGTGTACCTCAAATCCGATCAGACTCTTAACTAACACCACTTGTACTTTACGTTTTAAATGTTGTGTGTTTTCTCAGGCCCTAGGACAGTAGTCCACCCTAAAGCCCGGATCATTGCAGAGGCAGGACCCATCGTTATCGGAGAAGGCAATTTGATCGAGGAGCAAGCTCTGATCATTAATGGGTGATTTAAGACTCCTTGTACCTCCAGTGTATAACATGCACATCACTGTTACACGAACAAGCTTTACTTGCATCATCATAATTATTAAGTTTGCTTGTTTTACCTTTTACAGTTATCCAGAAAACATCACACCAGATTCTGAGGTGGAACCGAAGACGATGACCATTGGCTTGAACAATGTATTTGAGGTTGGCTGTGGTATCCTTTTGAGTTTGGCTGGACCAGTCTTATTCTATAAGTCAAATGATTTCATATTGTAACCATTTTATGAATCTAAACTATCAAAAATACATTTCGCCTTAACTGACAACTAACAGTATCGCAAGCCCTGAAAATTGGGGACAACAACGTGATTGAATCTAAAGGTGGGATGTGTGTTTTATCTTTGTTTGGCTTCCAGGGTGTGTCTGCAGAGAAGGAGGGAGTATGCACATGAGCAAAGTCACTCACTGTATCAAATGTCCTCTATTTTGTCGTCTAGCTGACGTCGGTAGGAATGTGATCCTCACCAGTGGCTGTATCATTGGAGCCTTCTGTCAGGTCAACACCTGTGAAGTCATACCTGAGAACACGGTCATCTTTGGCTCTGGATGTATGAGGCGGGTTCAGACAGAGAGACCACAGGTACGCACACGTTTGGGCGTTTTGTGCTTACAGGTGGACCGTTAAAATGTAGATTTTCTTGTTAACAGGTTTACTCTATGGTAACTTGCTGCAGTCTGTGGAGATATTTTAGTAGATTGCATAGGTTTGGTACAGATTTCAGTTCTATTGCATCCACTTCTTGTATATAGCATCTAATAGATAAGGTAATGTCCATTTCATAATTCTGGGCAGCATATTATCATTCTGATAATGACATAACACTGTGAACAGAGGTCAAATGTGTTACCCTTTTTTTGTCAAGCTTATTTATGTTTTTGTTTGTTGTTCGCAGGCTGTCTCAATAGGCCTAATATAACTGTTAGGGAGAAACACTGTGCATAATGGTGAAACCCTGCTCTGAATTGTTACACATTTTGGTCATGTTTATATAAGATTTTGCTTGTCTGTGACCTCATCAGTGGTGTTCATCATGTCTGAAACCTCTTACATACATAAATATGAAACGTAAAGTTCTTTTCAACCACGAGGTACCCAAAAATACAGTGTGAACTACTTAGCACACACAAGCCTTAAAAAAATATGATGTGGTAGTAACATGCAGGTACCTCTATGTGCCTACATCTGCATGAAAGTAAGACCAATGGGACAAGACGGCGCACCATGAGTTTAACAAGCTTTACCATAATTAATGGTACAGCATTGCAGTTTTTAATTTCAACTGGGTGTTTTTATCCAGTCTACTCAGCCGGTTCAGAAAAAACGCTGTAAATCTTGGCATTTCCAGCCTACTGTGGTGTCAAATATTAGTGCAAGACTTTCAAACATGGCATTGGCCAATGTCTGACTTTGAAAGCATTTTAGAAAAGATCACTTATCTTTCCTTAGCTTATTGACATGTTTGTTGTCATTCTTACAGCCCCAGACTCTTCAGCTCGACTTCCTGATGAAGATTTTGCCAAACTACCACCATCTGAAGAAAACTGTTAAAGCAGGCCACAATGCTAGCTAAAGTTTAACTTCATACATTTTAAGGCGGATTGTAAATGGATAGCAAACCCTTATTTACATGGATCTTGCTGGAAGGAAGCATGAATGTATATAATTATAATATATGTACCTAGCTTGATCAGTACTTTTTTTTCACTTGCTGATTAATATTTTCTACTAGAACTGCAACAGCTGATTAAGCATTTCATCTTTATCTTGCTGAGCTGATGTCATGTTTTCTATGATTAATTAAATAACCTCAAAATGCTGATTGTGTGGACTGTATAGTAATTTATGATCAGTGGTTCCCTCTAATTTCATCACTGGGTTGAAAATAATAAGACACATAGGAATTAAATGCTTTCAGTGTATAGCCACACAGAAATACCAACAGTAAATGTAACATTTTAAGTACTTTCATTGATTCTCAAATTGAATTTGATAAACACCTAAATGTTAGCATTTAAAATGGCGACTAATAGAACTGGCAGTAGTGTGCATGTAAATCAATGATAAAACGTGTATACTGTAACACTGTAATTTATTAAAATAAGTTGCAAAAGTTTTTATATTTTAAATCACTATGCCTCTGTGCTGCAAAGTGAGAGGATTTCAATATTTTGAAATTCCACAAGAAGTAATGTCCGAGATGTTTCAGGCTGGATGAGAGACCTCAACGAGAGACTGCACAGCACAATCCTGTCTTTTGCAATTCCTATTGAAAAGATGGCTGGCCTTTCAAATAAAACCTTCCACACACACACACACACACACCTCTTGGCAATATACTAAATAAAATGAAGAAAAACATATTTACACACTTAACTTGTAACCTCATTTACATTTCAACAGTAACGGTGCATCAGTCAGCGTCCTTAATGGTCTCATTACTCTTTCCCCTCCTTCAGTTATCACTGATCAATAAACAAACTAAAAAGGATTCTACAACACAGTTTCTATTCACTCCATGTAAGACAAGACCACTGATCACTGGGAGGAGTGCAAAGAAAGGAAAAGAAGCTAGTTGGTTTGCTTTGTATCGTAGTGTGGCCAGGGTCTCCGTCTCCAGCCATGACTGATTTACAGATTCTACATCACTCCTTTGAGGGCATGAAACCGCCGGGGAAAGGATTTCACTTCTTAGCAGGAACACCATCGGAATAGTCTTCCAGGACGCCTGCCAAATGGTTGTTGTGAGTCTTGAAGTGTCTCTTTCTCTGCCCACCTTGCTTCTTCCTCTTTTGAACCGGTAACTGCAGGGAGCACAGAAACACAATCGGCACTGGTTAACATGCTTGACTGTCAATGTGAACAATCAGTGTTGGCACATTTAAGCCTTTATTTCTAGTGAAACAATTCAGTGCAGGTATATTTAAAAGTACATTAAATAATTAGAATGGAATTCAAGTAAGTGGGAGAGCAGGGCGACACTGACCACTTTCTTTGGTCCTGTTTCTTGCATGGAGGAGATGCCTTGTCTCTTTAAGTACTCCTCAATCTTCTCTTCATCCATGGAATCAACTGGAACACTCCTCCACAGTTTCTGGAACTCTGCAATGGAAACACATTGATCAAACAGCTGGACACAATTATTTGGTGATTTTGACCAATGAGGAAATAACACGGACCAAACTGGAAGAAATGGAAAACATTAATATCAAAATATCTTTTCACATGTTAATTATTCATGTATCAGGGTCAGAGCAAGTTAATAAACATTAATTACAATGCAAGTATGCTAGAAGGAAAGGTCGACTGATTTTCATCTGCAGTCTGATGCCAGAATGTTAAATGGCCCAACCTAGAAAGATTAAAAGTCAGTGTTGAGGGATTGTTGCTCCTGTTAAATGTGAGAGGTACATTGATGTATGTCCTCAGCCAACAGCAGGCTGCAGTGACTTATTATTTTTGTATACCGATATATTATGATGCTTGGCACCCAGCTGAAGTTTTGTGATGCTTTCTCATTCTCTGTTTTTAAATGTACTTGAAAAGGCTCTTCACACCTACGGCTCACCCCGGCTAGTGTTGTCATTTATTTAGCTGGATCAGACCTGGTCTGATGCCACATTCATGTCACACGTAATGTATGGCAGAGATGGGAAAGACTCCTTTGTTCACAACTTACAAGTGTTTACGTCACATTCAAGCTAAAGACAGTTTATACGATTAAAGAGTTGGTTGAGTTAGAGTCTAAAATACTGTGCACTGTCAATTTAACACGACACATTCAATATGGGTTTAATCACCTTCAGCAACAGCTGGTTTCCCATCATCATTACAACTTGGGTGTTGACATGAACAATACTTATAAGCTGGAAAAATTTTGTCAACTGATATGACAGCAAGGCAGGATGAGGGCTGAGTGGGCATGCGGACTGTGGTTGATGGAAATCAGTTTCAGCCTCATTTTATATGACTTACTTAAACAATGAATTCATTATCAAAACCTACAGCAGCCACATCTTTTAAATGCAGAGTCAGTAACAATCAGAAAGACAGCCAAGACACACACAGAGAGCGAGACAGAGCGATCCGTATCACAGCTGACTGACGAAGCTGACTTGTGCTCACCTTCATCTACCATAAATTGGCAGTGCTTGTCGTTGTAGAACAGGATCTTCTTCTTATCTGGTCTTGTCACGAAGATGATCTGATCCCCCAAAGCCTGCGAACACACCAGAGCCCACGTCAGCTCACGTCTCTGCTAATATTGTTTAGTCACCACAGCGTTACAAGGGTGTGAGACACAAGTGTATGCCCCTTCCATTAAATCGGCAATCATGTACTGTATGCATTAGGTGGCACTGCTGCGCGGGCATTCGTGTGCTTTAGCATAAATTGTATTTATCGTGTATCACCTTGATGGCCTTGGCTGAGTTAGGCAGCCCCTCCTCTACGTCGTCCAGCAGCACTCCTCCCAGTCCCAGCTGGTCGTGTTTGTCTAGCAGCCTCAGTAAGGCTTTCTTGTCCTTCAGGTTGTACTTTGGTTTGAAGCCGTACGTCCCATCCCGGACATCAATTTTTGGGTTGCTGACCAAGGCCTGACAATCACACAAAGCGTAGGAGCAGATGTTTTAAGTCTCTTGTTAAGTAGGTGACCAGATAGTAGATGTGCATATGCAGTTAAATTAATCTTTGATGTTCTGTGAATTAGAAAAAAATAATTATCAAAAAGAAAAACCTTTTTTGTGCCTTTCATCCCATTAAAAATATAAAGGCTAAACATTGTGTTCACCTTCCGAAACATGCACACTTTGTGCTTTGAGCTATAGTAACTCTTCTTAGCTTCATGTTGTTCTCTACTATTAACAAGAGTATCTTCCACAAGGTATTGAATGTGTGTTTATTATCAGCATCATCACTCAGTTATCTCACCCAATCATCAAGCTTCTATTTAGTGGCTTGCTTTTTTTGCAACATACAGGATGTCGTTGCAGCCTACAGATGACTTGCAGGGAAAGTAAGTGTTCTGGGCAATGGTGTAGGACATGGTGTAGGACATGGACAAATGTACTCCTGATGATAAATAATAGCAATATAATACTTATACACACCTCAGTCATGAGCCACTGTTTCTGCTTCATGCTGATGTCAAGAAGTTTGGTCTCATCCAGAATCTCATCCAGGGTCAGGAAATGTGTGTCCCCATTCTGATGCCTTGTCTGAGAGTTAAGGGCAGAACAGCACATGAATTTATGATGAATTTACGTACAAAAAACACACATACAGAATCAACAAAGTATAAAATCCTCCTTATTTTAGAATGTCAGCCATTCTTAGGCCCACACCTTTAGCGCAGTTATAGCTAAATGCCTATAGTGATTTTATGCCTTGCATTCAACTGTCAGAACTTTTTTTCCCCAGCTTTGTGTATTCAACAGATGGCACAAACAATGCACACATTAAAAGAAAATCTGTCAAATTGAGTGCGAGTTCTGGCGCGAGGGATGAGTCAGACAGCTAGTGTGACAGGGCCTGGCTGCCTCTCTCCAGAGCCACAGCATGACAAACAAGCTGTTAACATATCAAAAGAAACGACAGGGCACTAAATGTTACGCAGCGGACACAACTGACTCACTGGACTGACACAACAGACAATAAGTCAAGCTTTTAAAGAGCTTTGATGGAGATGACGACAAACTTAAAACCTAGCAATTAAGTGGATGCTGTTGTGACAGCTTTTATCAACTTGGAAAGGAACAATATCCATGAGACTGAAACACACCTTTGCCTAGAATAATGTTCATCTTCAAGGATGAATACAATCACCACTCAATTGCTGGAGAATGTTCTTTTTTTTCTTTTTTTTTTTTTTTTAAAGAAAAAACGTCTCCAGAGGCTTACCTTCATATAATTGACTATCTTGGCCAGGCAGCCAAACTTGTACCCAGAGCTTGTCTTGATGTTAAAGTTGCCATTACCAGACTCTGTGGAGAAAAACAGAGCAGTTTAGGTAAAGTATTTAAATGTCACATTATTTATATATAAGAGTGAGTGAACTATATAGACGGACAGAACCCAAAGCTTTTTGTTGATAAAATGGCTTAAAATCAATAGATATGATCAGCACATCAGATGGTGTCGAAAAACTACAATAAGAACTAAAACAAATTACATGATGTCAATAAACTTTATTTAAGTCAGTCTAATTCAGTAATTACATGCATTATTCTACATTTGTCTATTAGTCAGCAAATCCCATGAAAACCAACAATTCCTAGTTCATCTCTCAATACTTTCCAGCCTCTTTGGTCGGTGGCCTATATGTTCCTACTGAGGAAGTAATTCTTTAAAATGGGCCTATACTATACTATCAGACACGTGTGTGCTAGTGAGTGTTTATGGCAGCAGGACAGTGTGAGTGGGATTGACTCAAAATACATCACAGTGGTTTCATGTCACCCAATGCAACTATGTTGCTCGTTAATGTGTTTTCAATCATTTTTAATTGAGCTCAAAGAATAGCTTAAAGTCCAGCATACTGCTCCTATTCTCTGTGGGAGTCCAATAATGCTGCTCCCCCCCCCTGCAGACTGTCTGAGGTCTGGATTCAGCACTCGCCAATCAAAGCTGAAAACAGACACTGATTCATGAATGATTCATGGTGTGGGCGGGAGCTTCTGCTGTCGTGAGCTTGGCTGTGGGCAGGACACTGGGATTGTGACAGGCCAGTTAACGAATGGTGCAGAGGCAGGGCTAAAAGGAAAGAGCCAATGACGGAGAAGGAGCCCGTGCCGTTCACCCGAGACATGAAGAGCTGCAAGGAGTGGCGGAGGGAGCGAGCTGGTGCACGAGCGACGGCTGAGAGTGCATGAGAGCACCGAGGAGGAAAACAGGTCGAGGAGTGAACACGGAGGAGGGAGAGAGTGGAAGACGGAGCAATAGGTGGAGCACCCAGAAGAGGAGAGTGCATCTGTTGACTCGCATCTTCTGAAGACTGAACCTAGACACACAGGTGAGTCTGCAGATTTTTCTTCACAGCATCATCAGAATAATATGTGTGTGTGTGTGTGTTCGGCATCAACAGATCATAACAATCCACAGCATTAATTTAAGCTACAGGCTGTAGGTTGTTCTTGGTCTCACTGTGTAGCTATAAGGGGGTTTTAATGATCCAGCAGGGTGAATCGCACATTTCTAAACGCAGCAGATCTTTGTATGAAGCCAATCAATTATGTATAAGAGAAACAGCTAGTGATGTGCACACCACATCTAGCAATTATGTATGTAAAATGTAATTCATGCTATGTGAGCAAAGATCTTGCCAACCGTAATATTTAGGCCAAGATGGAGCAAAGATGCAACGGATTAAATAAACATGGATCTGCTGTCTGCACTCTTCCAGATTAATTGAAACTGTGTGTGTGTGTGTTGTTTTGTATCTCTGGTATTGGTAACTCATGTGCATCTTGCATGACTCGGTGGCAAACTGCACCTCTCAAGACAAATCAATAAAGGGACTGGCAGCTGTGGAGGCTGCCAGCCAGGCGGACATCTAGGAGTGTATAAATGTGTTTTGGTGGGGTGTGGCTGTGTGTGATGTGGGTGGTGTGTGTTGTGTGTGTGTGTGTGGTTGTGTTGTGTTGGTGTGGTGTGTGCTGTGTGTGGTGTGTGTCGTGTGAGAGAGAGGAAGAGAGGCGCAGCGCTTGTGTAGCCAGAGAGCAATATCTGCGTCCCTTCAAATACCTTTAAGGGCTTGGTATTGGGCGTGGGCTCTTTTTGGGCTGAGATAACAGATGCTGTAGGGAGTACAATCTGTCCTCATGTGTGGTGACTGCCCTGGGACAAAAGAAATGGCGGGATGAACAGGTTGGATGGGGGGGGGGGGGGTTGTTGCTATTAGGCGAGACAAATTAGTAAAAGATGTTGTTGTCATGGCAATGAGTTGAAGTGAAGTTGATATTATGAGCTGCGATTAGAGGACGCTAAAGAGGGAAGAGAGAGTCAAGTTGCACCATCTGAGAAGAAAATACCACAAACCACTCACCATGTTCTGTAAACACTGTAAACAGATGTGCTTCAGTCTGCTTCCATAAACCAATAACCAGCTGACAGTAAATGTAGTTAACTGTGTGTGACCTCTTACTAACCCAATATAAAACCATACTGCTATGAAGCTACACTATACAAATTAATTAATTTCATAAAACACACGTAAACAGTTTTGAGACTAAACCAAATGCAACCTTTACTTCTCTTCTTTTTTAAATAACAACCCCACACATAGTATTTGTTAATTATGTTTTGAAACAAAAGGTAACCTTAACTTAAGCTACAATTGCTAGCGGCCTTTCCCACATCATTTGGGCCATAGCATACAGTATTATGCCGAGTCTGGTCACCACAGCAAGACTGTAACGTAGGCATTGAAGCCACTACAACAGCGGGTTCTATCACATTACAGTGTCAGGTAACACGGAAACAGTTACAACCACACGAAGAGTAGTCACCTATTTCTTCTAGTGTACTAAAATACACTCTCAGGACCCTACGATGCCACAAATCCATCATACATACATGAAAGCATCTGTCTTTACACAAAGTAAACCCAGTTAAAATAAATGAAACCTTACAGGCTTAGCCTCGTGTTGAGAGAAGCACTTTTCCTCAACTCTTTTCTGTGGTTCACTCAAGTAATCTGGGTCAGCTTTCTCTGCCTCAGTGTGTGTTATAAAATGTCTGAGAATATATGTGTGTGTCTGTGTGTGTGTGTTTAGATCATGTAGTATGTGCACATGTGTGAATGTGTGTGTGTGGGCAGAGATACTGGCATGCTGTTCTCTGAGGATTTGAAATGGTAGGCTTTGGCAGAAAATGTGAAAGGGAAGCTGAAGAGAGACAAATGGCTTGACAATGTGCGTGCTGCAGAACAGGTTTTAATTTCATTACTAGATTGCAATTTCGTAACTTTCTTTTTGTCAGGTGTTACAGCTGAAGGGTTGCAAACCAAGTGTAGGTGCCACATTTTATTGCGCAGCTATCCTTTTCTTTTCTTTTTAAGTCTATTTTTGTTCTGAGCAGATGGCCTCAGTAGGGTTTATGCTCCTTTGCAAAATAACCTTTTGCCTCTAATAACTCATTGTCTTCTTATTTAACTAAAAACACTGTCTGTTGCCAAGGTTTATTTTGTATACAAAGTGGCATTACAGTTTCTCATTTACAACATGATACCCTCTGTGACCGTTAACGATGTTGTACTATCATAATCACATTACAGCAGATTACCTAAGAGAAACCCTGATGGTTTCAGGAGAGGAAATGGCTTTCCCATTCCGTCTGTGGTCTCTAGTGAGGCTCTATCCTTGTCATACATTAGCTGCGTAAAAGTGAAAATGAAATTCAGGAACATGGTCTGTAGTCTTTTGTTTTTAGTATTTATTATTCTAAAATTCTGGCACTACAGAGCCCAGTACATCAGATTCCTAAATATTATGCCCTAAGGAGCCACTCTTTTACTGCTTTCACTTTCTAATCCTTCTCTCACCATGGAAACAAGTGTTTTACAACCATCATGCTCTAATTTGGTCTCCTCTCAGCGGTGGACCAAAGACTGTCGCAAACATTAACAATCTGTCTTTCTCCTCTCTCCTCCTCCAGAAATCATGGCCAACATCACCACCACTATACACCCGAGTAATCTCCCATGGCACCCAGAGGCGGCCCCTCTCTCCCACGTCTCCTTGCAGGTCCAGGAGGTCTACCCTTTCCATGACGGATGGAATGTGGCCTGCTTCGTCATCCTTCTGCTCTTCATCCTCACTGTCCTGTCTCTGGCTGCTTTGGCTGTGCTCTATGAGCTACTGGACTGTGGCTGCTGCGCTAAAGGGAAGACACATCAGCAGCTACAGGAGGAGGGGCCGGGAAGCTGCAGCAAGCTCATGACCAGCATTTGCAAGGAGCCAGAATCCCACACTGAGGTGGTATAGGGTGTGCCGGGATGAAAATGAGGAAGAGTAGGCATTCGGGTTTTTATTGCTGAAATGGGCAATGCCACAGCGATAAACCTGACGCCCTGAGAAAAGAACTTCTAAATCTGCCCAACAGTGGCTCAAATACTCACAGTTAAGAGGACACGGAGGGAAGAGGCGGGATAAGTTAACAGAACAATGTGAAAAAGGAAGAGGGCGGTTTGTCACCGATTTGGAGTGAGTCTAATTAACTTTTCATTTCAGTTAGGAGGGAATCTTCACACATCTACATTCACTACCACTTAACATACAGGGCAGACCCTGAAAGCCACGTTTTACACCCAAAATACTACCAGAGGAAAGACAGAGATCTCAAGTAGCCTAATGATAATAGTACTAATAGTACTTACAGTGGCCGGAGAAACATGTTAACATAATAAACAATAGTTGGACCCAATAACAGTTTGTTTAAAAAAAACAAGTATTCCTGTTGAGTGACTCTGCCCTGTTATTACTGCACGTACTTGTGACCTGCTTAATGCAAATGAGCTTCTATGAGACATGTAAAATGTTGTATACAGACAGAAAAAGCTGTCCAAATCCAAAGACTTGAATATCCTAGTTTCCAACAGGAACTGACAAACAACAAAAATATGATCAAGCTTATTTGGACAGCATCGTCGCATTGGGTAAAGCCTGTGTTTCTCTGTTCTTTAGTAAATTGTATGCCAGTGTTGTCAACATGTTTAGCATTGCGACATTATCTCATGACAAGTGACACTTGATTGCTGCACAGTGATGTAATTTATCATGTCATATTGAGCACAGTGTATGATTTCATATGCCTTACCACAAAATGCCTAATAAATTGTCACTAACTTACGTACCGGAGTTTTTTTCTGCTAAAAGAACAGACAAATAAAGTGAACAGGAAAAGTAAGGATATGAAAGGTAGAACCACGCCTGAATAAATTAAAAGCATTGTTTTTTTGTCCGTACGAGTGCTACTTTTTTTATTCACTGTGTGCTGGATGCAAGTGATGGTGTTTCTCTGACTGGCCTCATGATGGCTCTGTTGTTTCACTGTTACTATGAATAAATACAAACACAACGATGATAAAGTTTGATACATTAGGCTACGGTCACAGCATGGCAATGACAAAGCTACCCCAGATGACATGAGCTCTGAATAGATACCATGCAAGTAGGGGTCCAAAGAGAGGTTACCTTACATAGTTGCCTCAACCTTATTGCTATTAACATGCAAGTAATTTTCTTGGGCAAATGTAAAACTTGGGAAGATCTCACAGGCATAGAATTTTCCTGGAAAAGCTAGGCCTTAAGTCGTTGTGGCCATGGCTGGAAAAGGGGAAAGAGAACTTCCAGGAGCTGATAGATACTATCAAGAGGCAGAAACTGAGGAACTCCCAGAAAAACGCTGGAGATGCCACTTCTGTCCATTCACACTTAACCTCATAATGACCACAAGCAAGTGCCTGATTTGTGATTACTGTACTGACTCATTTGGGTCTGGTAGGTCTCAGTCTATGAGAAGTTATAGTAGTCTATGTGTAAGAACAGTATAAACATGAAATATAGGCGGCTATGCTGAAATATATTAAAACCACATTGTATGACATCCATAAACGTTTTTAAAAATGTCATTCATTTCATTGATACCAATTAATAATACCACATTCCAAACTGTAAACTGCATTATTAAAGTCCCGGGTTACTAAAGATGCATGGTATGTGGGAATGTTTGGAAAACACTTGTGTATTAAAGGGAAAAAATAATGACCAACTTCACATAAGCTGGTAAATTAATGACAAATAATGCAATTTATGGCAGTGTCCTTTCTGCCTCAGATCAGATATTGAATATTAGTGCTAAGAATATAATATAAATTGCCTAAAATCCAATTCTGACATGTTCTTTCGCTGTACATACAAAACTGTAACAGTTATTCATTTCTTAAAATCTCTTCTTCACTTACCCGCGCCGTGTTTGGACCCTGATGAGCTCTCCTTGTCAACTTTGGACTTCTTCTTCTTGTGCGACCCTGAGTCTGAAGGAGCATGTCTCTTCTCTACAGCCGGAGTGGACAGAGCTCTTTTCTTGAACAGCTCCCTCTCCCTCAGTAGAGCTGGATCCATCCTGGCTGACAGAGCACAACATACATCAAAAACAGCAACAATAAGAACAAACAGCAAGAGAATAAGACGAAATAAAAGCTCCCTTTGGTCTGAGAGGGTGGTGTAATATGCTGACGTTTTAAAGTGTAGGGTCACTCTGTGCACTGTATAGGTTTCATGTTGTAAACACAGTACAGTGCACACAGCAGACTACACATGGGAGCTCTACTGTTATTAACCAGTACTTTTGTAATATGATTTTTTTTAAGAATATGAACCACCTGAGGACAATACTAAAATAATAAAACAAAAGGAGTGTATTCTGACAAAGGGGTTCCTGTCCTAGACACAACCCACTGACAATCAGTGCCTTTAGGGGGCCCAAGGGGCCAGGCTCTCCGGGGTAGTTTCCTGCTGTAACCGGTTGTAACTTAACCCAGCCTTGACTGTAAAAGGTTTAAAGCAATTTAAAAATAAAATCCCCTTTTGTGCCACTCGACCAGCAAACAGCAACTGCAGCTAAACTGAGAACACATGTGATTATTCTCTGATCACCGATGATCTTGCACCTCGATAAACTGGCGTTAGAGAGGAAATTGCCCCAAAATGTTCCAGCTAAAGAGCTAAACATGAGCTAGTTCGTTCACCTGGTTGCAAGTAACTAGCCACAGCTAAGTAACGATACAGTCGGCATTGTTAGCCTGACGTTGTTGCTTTATTGTGCTAATGTAAACCCAGCCAGGGTTAAGGTTATCTCCAAACGTTGCTGACTACATTTGATATTTGGATAACACAGATATCGTTGTTAGTTAGCGTTAGCTTGCGGATTTGTTCAACGTTATCCTGCTGAGCGTTACCTGACACTTTGTTCCTGTTCTCGGAGAAAGTGGCGGGTTAGTCCAGGAGGACTATCTAATTCCGTAGGCTACCGAACAGATACACGTTCTTCAGCAAATAACCGCTCTAACAGGGATGATATAAGTTAACGTTTGCTAACTAACTTCACACACAAAATATCCTTTTTTCTTCTCATGCTTCACTTCCGTTCTTGTTCGATTTTTCGGATATCGACAGCTAATCCTTGCACGACGTCATCACGTATGAAACGTTGACTTTTAAAGAAAAAAGAAAAAATCTGAAAATACCCAAATAACATTTCGAAACATATACAATTGTTGATTCGTTGAATCAAAAAAAGTGAAAATTAAAATGTAACGTTATAAATCTGTATTGTTTTTCTTTTACTGAATTAAAGTCTCCCCCCATTTGTTATGTCTGAATTCCCTGGCACTTTGCTTCCTCTTTTTGTTATTTAAATGTATTAGGTGTTTTTATTGTTTACTACGGAGCCCCCCTAGTGACATTGGATTAAAAAAAATAATAATGCGTGGCCACGCGATAATTATTGCAGTCATTTCCATGCAGAGACTGTTGATTGTTAACATGGACAAGTTTGAATTAATTTCATTTTATTTTAATATAGAATTAATTACATGACATACTTCATCACTTTGCCGGTTAGGCATGGAGTAATTCTTAGCAAGAGACACTTAATTCGACTGCTCAAAATTACGGAGCCCCCCCCCATGACGTTGGATAAAAAAAAAAAATGCGTGGCCACACATTACATTACTATCTCGTGGCCACGCAATAACTTAAGAGATAGTTAATGCGTGGCCACGAGATAGTAATGTGTGGCCACGCATTATTATTTTTTTATCCAGTGTCACCAGGGGGGCTCCGTACATTTCCCCTCATTTCTACAAAATGCTGTCTGTCTCCAGGGAGGAAATGGCAGAAGGGCACCACTTAGTGGTGCATTTATGCTATGTACTCAAGTTACCAAGTTCAGCATGTGACAGACATGGGCCAGCAAAAAAAGAAAGGAATAAATTAAGAGAAAAAGGTTATATGTGCTGCTATCTAGTTTTCTAGTTTATATTACACAAACATTAGATAAAACATAAAAGAATCAAGGCAGACAAAAAGTGTGTTTTTTCGAATAAAGTACAAACACGACATCTGCAGTTTGAGTATATGGAAAGTTGCGAATTGTAGTGATGCAAACCCAGCCACCCACTGTGTTAGAATGGATGCTTTAGCTTTGTAGTTTTCTTTGGAAAATGTATGGAAACAAACCCCTCAGGAGTTTCGATGTGAGGTCCTTATAACACTTCTAAGCCCATCTTTGTCCTCTGGCATCCTTTCAAAGAAAAAATCCACTCCCTACAGGAATTGACTATCATTATGTGCCTATAGTGCAACTTTGGCCATGGCCGAGGCTATAATCTATTCAGCACATTGATCAATAAATATGATTTTTGCCTTACTTGTCACCACTCAGTGCATTCAAAGATGTGCTATATGGGAGGCTAGAGCTGGATAAAGTTGAAAAGGGCTATAACGTCCACACTTCAGAGACAGTTGTTATGAGACTGAGTACATCAATTCACCCCAACTGAAGCTGGACTTGCTGACTGAAGCAGGAAGGCAACGCCACCACTGGGTATATTCAGGTGTGAAAAGAGTTGAGATAAGGCGGCACTGTAACCAAGTCACTAAAGCAAATAGAGAGCTGCAGTGCACCCCTGGAGTAGCAGAGTGTGGAATGTAAGATACAGAGCGGACCTGAACCATGGCACTGAAACTGTAAGAGGGGGGAAATTAGTTCTCAATTTCTGCACATGGAGCTTCACGCATGGATTGGCATGGGATTTAACATAAAATATGCTCCCTCATTGTATTCAAGAAGTATGCAGTAACTTGTTCTAAGCTCCTTAGATATTAACATAACAAAAAGTCATATTTTTTTTGGCTTGAACATTACTGAAAGAGTGTTATTCTTTGTGAAATCCATTTCTTTGTGAGGTCGGGTGCATCAAAACTTGGTTCCGGTCTGAGTCGGTGGTCCGACACGTTTAAACTGTTGCATTAAAGCCCCAGAAAACACTTAAAACTCTGCTTAATCTGTGTAGGTGTGGTTTGATTAGATTTGATTGACACTGACCTAACAATCCACCAGATTCTGATTCAAATGTTACCAAATCTTTATTGGCACATGGAGGTATGTGACATCACTCTTTCCAACTGAGCACTGCCTTTTTCAAAGCAATGAGGGAAAAAATGAAATACAGAAATTTCTCATGTGAAATAACCTTAACAGAACCTCAGAAAAAAAAGGCTGCTTGAGAAAAGGATTTTCAGGGCTGTTAAAGAGATCTGAAGGACACTCTAATAGAAATATATTCGATACTGTCATTGTGGAAATAATATGACTTGCCAGTTATTCAGCGATCTGTAGATCAAGATCCTACTTATGAATAGATTTAGAAATTGGTAAAACAGTAACATAACATCAAGTTAAAAACATTCTGAAAAGCAATTCCACAGTTCGTAGTAATTTATACATTCATACACCACATACAGAGACACTGTACATGCTCACTGAATTGATTTTTACAACCCACAGTGAGACAAAATGAAGTTTCCTTTGTTGTCCTTTGTCTAAACTGTATGTTGTCCGGTTATCTCATGCATTTGTTAAAAGGACGTTAACATGTAAAGTAAGCAGGGTGCAACAGCTCTACTGACATTGTCGGATTTAGTTTTTGATCTGTATTGTACTCCTTTACAAGCCCTGCCAGAGTCTTTTACACACTGCACAACATATTATAGCATATAAAGTGTATTATTAGTTACTCCACAGGGATATGAAAATTTTAGTTGGAGCATGTGTATATTTGGATACATCAGCTGGATATGTCTGGTCTAAACTGAAAAGCATGAGATGTTCATATAATGAAAATCAGTATGAACTCTCGTGTGTTTGTGTGTGTGGGGGAATGAGTGGATGTATGTCCGTGGTTGGGCAAAAAAATAATGCAACAAATTCTGCATAATAACTCTTTTTTTATGTGCAGGTACAAAACAGAACATCAAAACAGGCATCATTTGGTCCAACTTTCAGATGTTCATGCGGATCATAGAACAAATTAGCATCTCCAAAACTCATAATTAATGATTCAGCAGGCCAGTCAAAGAAATGAGCCCACATGAATGATTAAATATGTGCTAACCTAATTTAAGGCCTAATCCATAATGAATGAATTACACTGTTTAGACACAGCAAAGAGAGAATAGAAAAGAGAAGGAGAAGATTTAGACATCAGAGGATAGCGACACTTGTGAAGTGACAAACAAATAAATTATTCTGCTTCTAATGTCTCAGCCTCACCATCACTTTAACTGCAGTCACTTTCAAGCCACAGCAACCTGGGGAAATCCAAGGTATAACCATGGCCAATTAAAACATGCTGTCACTATGGAGGGAACTGAACTGGAGACTGAATTAGATTATTTTTAGGAGTCATCATGTTCTTTTTATTAACCTGTAGAGGTTCACTGTTTTTCACGGCTAAAACTGTGAGAGAGACGGTCATTTAAGGTATTACCAGGTCTGTGCGCGCGTAAAAGAGAGGGATGAGAGGGAGTTCGTGTATTATGTACTACAGTAACAGAGAGAGAGAGAGTCAGCACAGTAATCTAGAGGTGAGGAGTAATATCAAAGAGAAGAGACGAGTGAAATCCTGGAGCTGCAGCCAACCAGTGCAAATCCCTGTGGAGGAGAAAATCTCAAAGTGACAGCTTTCAATTACAACAGTATGAGGAACTCTGTGTGTGTATGTGTGTGTGTGTACTAGCCTACCTGTCAGCAATTCTGGGCTTCACTGACAGTTTGATGTCACAGTTTCTGAATTGAAACTACCTCATGTACACACACGAAAGCCCACGGACACACACACACACACACTGTTTCTCTCGTTTTCTTTTTCTGTCTTGCTCTCACATTCATCTGTGCTGTATTCTCAGGTGTCTGGGTCGAACTGCTGTTGGACATAAAACCAAAGAAAGAGGAGGCAGATACTGCACACTGGAACTCAGTGTGCTACTGTACATTGTGTGTAGGTGTATGTAGTCTGTGTTTGAGAGTATGTCATGGATATAGAGTTTTCTTTGCAGCCTTTACGTCAGGGAAGGCTACAGGTGAAGAAAATAGAAGCAAGAACTATGACATATATTTGTTTATTTCTTTTGCTTATTTAATAAAGACACTATAAATAAATATTGTTAAACAGAAAAAAGAAATGCAACAGCTAGTACATCTAGTTGAAGTTAATTTGCAGCAGCCCATGCCTGGTTAGGCTTGCGGGTTGTGCAATATCCTAAAACACACTATAGACTAGAATATAGAAAAGAATATATCTTTATTTTCCACATACATACAATACAACATCAGAAAAACAGAAAAACAAACACACAAGACAAGGTCACATTACACATTTAGTAACAGTTAATGCCATTGTCTGTGGCTGTGCATCAGTCACTTTGTAGAGTTAAAAATATTAACAGCACTTAGGATGAAGCACTTTAAATACATTTTTAGTTGCCAGAGGGACTCTATAGCGCCTCCCAGAGCTCAGAGGCTCAAACTGGCTGAAGAGAGGATGGGAGCTATCTGCCAGGATTCTCCTTGCTTTCTTACTCTTCCTTTCTGTAAAAAGTTGATTCAAGGGCTTTTCGAGTTTATCAGCTATTTTGCTTGTCATAGACACAATCTGAGAAAGTTTATTCTCAGATCTACAGTTTAAATGCGGCCAAAGTATGTGGACATTACACCCATAACTGATTGTTGAACTGTCATCCCAAATGGGCATTTATCTGCAGCTATAATAGTTTTCATTCTTCTGGGAACAGCTTTCCACAGTGATTTTCGAATGTGGCTGCAGGGATTTGCTCTCATTCAGCAACAAGAGTATTACTGAAGTCATTCAATGATGGTTGGCGATAAGGCCTGGCTCACAGTCAGCATTCCAATTCTCCCCACAGTTGTTGAATGGGGTTGTGGTCAGGGCTCTGTGCAGGCTCAGTTCTTCCCCTCCTAACTCTTTAAAAATCATTCCTTTATGGGCTAACTGTTAATGTTAAAACAGGAAGGAGCCTTGCCCAAAGTATTGCTACAGAATTGGAAACACACTATTATCTAAACTAAATATCACAGCATTAGGATGTCCCTTA